CTTTGAGACGTGTTAACAATGTGATAAGGCACTGTATCAAATACAAGAATTATTATCATTGTTGTTCTCTGGGTTCCTTTCCTACCTCAGTGAGTCAGTGACTAGAGAGCATCAATTTAAGTTAATTAACAAAGAAGCCAAGGAGAAAATTAAGAGAATTTTTTTTACAAAGTGTGTCGTTAGATGTGAAATGCCTTGCCAGGAATGATGATGGAGGTAAAATCCAAATTTGCTTTTATGAGGGAACAAGATGGATACCTTAAGTGAAGTAATTTGCAGTGATATGGAAAAATGCAGGTAAGTGACACGGAATGGATTGCTCTTTCAAAAAGTCATGATCCACTACCATAAATCAGAGAGCTGATAGTTAGAACACACTAATAATCCTAAACCACCTCTTCCATTCCCTGTCAAAGATCTTGTCTGAATCCATCTCCACATGTTCTATGTAGTCCAATCCATCATCTCAACCCACAGCCTAACCTTCCATTGTCTCTTCATGCCTAGACCATGTCTATCCATTTCCCAGCATTTTTCAATCAATGATCCATTACCTGATTAATCATCTGAATTTTTTCTGTCCCCTTCCCTCTCCTCAATCTAGCATCAACATTTCAATTTAAAATAACAACATCTAAAGGCACAATACAAGACAACATTACATTTGTATAGCTCTTTTCATGACGGGAGGATGTCCCAAGGCACAAGAATGAAAGGAGAAGACTGCAGAGAAGGGACAGCAACAAAATAATTACAATAGTTGAAAAATCCACAGAAATATTAACAGGAAACTATTGCACAAAATATACTTTAAGTCTTGAGTTGCATGAAACTGCAGAACTACTTCTATCTTTCTTGTTCAAAAATGTAGAGAAAATGTGGAGGAAAACATAATTCAAGTATAAAACACATTTGTTTTGTTAAATTTGAATGTGAATTTTATAAAGCATGCAAGAAGCTGCTCAGAAGAAGGCACTGGCAAACTCCCAGAGAGCACGGACATAAAATACATCTTTTCACTATGCTTAGGCAGTGCATGAAGCAGAGTCGAGATGGAAAGTGGCTTTAAAGCTGCTCTGGATTTTCTCTAAGTAAATGTTTGGAATTGGAGAAAGATTTTCAAGCTACTTTGCAACAAAGTGGTGGGGCAAGACATTGTGATCCAGACTCAGACATGAAATAACTGGGTCCCATTTATTTGGTCAACTGGGTGTCTGATATTTGCCACAACCCATCGCCATATTTCAGAGTACCCACACCAGACTAAAGGTTCCACGTATGTATGCCACCAACACGTAGAAATCTCCCTGCGTCTGGAATGAAATTAGAACACTCTCCCTGGATGGATACACCCTGCTTATCTAATTCCCAAGAGTATTAGTTGCAAGTTGTTTTGCGGACCCCAAAATGTGGATTTTGCCTGAGTTTAACTGGCTAAAACCATATAGCTTGCCATTGAGAGCACTGTCTGCTTACCTTCCTGCTGGTTGACTAGCTTAGATCACCCTGCTCCCAGTTTCTGCCCCTCCAAGTCCTAGTCTAAATCCAATGAGCCAGGCTGGCTGGTCTGTCATCAGCAATACTCTTGAAAACTGTGGACCCACCTGATTCAGAAACTGGATTAATGAGACACAACAGAGGCTTATATTAATAATCATCTTTATATTTGAAATAGCACCTTATCAAGTTGCTGAAATACCTTAAAGTGTTTTACAGGATTTTTGTACAGTGAAGTGTGATGTCTGTGAATTTTGTAGTGAACCATGTACGATACATAAATATTTTAAAAGGTTTTGCTAAAAAACTTTTAGGGGATAAAGAGTATTTATGCAGAACACTCCTATTTGAGATAAAAATGAATATAAGCAGCTAAGCGGTCTGTGAAAGGAATGGATTTGAAGGGATAAATGATCTTTACTCTTTGAATGCTTGTGTATTTTTTTAAACCTCGGTACAGCTAAGATTTTGGCAAGGTGCACAAACTGGTTTAATAGAAACTGATAAAAACAATGTTATTTATCACTTTCACCTTGAACCAAAAACCTGAGTATGATCAGCTGGAGACGTACCATGAGCAATAAAACGTTTTTCACTCTTGCTCTCTAGTTAACACTAGAAAGCAATAGTTATGAATAAATTATGTAAATTGATTATTTCTTTATCTTTTGAAACAAATTTTAATCCTAAAATAAAATAAAACCATTCTCAGGCTATAGATTTTTGGACAAGCTGCTGCTTTAGGACTCGGAAGAGGTTACAATCATAAAAGTAAAGTTAGTTTGTAACTTATTCAAGGACCCAAAAGCTATATTTCACTAATAAAGATTTCATGTGTGGTCGTTTTAGAAAGGGGTTCTTTTGGCTTGATCTTGGCTAACAGTCCTCAAGCTATATAAACTACCCATTGCCTTCGCTCGGCTGGCTCTGGCCTCCTAGTTGTCCCCTGTCCCCTCCGCTCCACCATCAGGGGCCGCACTTTTAGCAATTATGCCCCCTCCCTCACACCTTTCAAATTCTTCCTCTTCGACTGTGCCTACAGTCATCTTTTCTCTCCCCTCAACCCTCAGCCTGGGTGACAAGGCCAGAACCGTCAAAGAATTTGTGATGTCCTCCTGACATGAAAGGCTCTATAAACTGTACATTTATATTGTAAATAAACTGTTAAATCATGCCCTACCATCCCAAATCACCTGCAAAACTGATGAATTGGCCACCTATCTCACTGTTTGTGTGATGCTCTTTGTGCTGTGTCTTCTTATCTATGCATTCTCCACTGGTCTCCAGTGTAAACATGTGATACTAATCTTGTATTTGATACAGCTCCTTTCACGTCAGGAGGATGTCTTGAAGCGCTTCTCAGAATTTACTGTAAGGGGTAGTGACTGCACATTTTGTAGGATAACACGGCTGTCAATTGTTATACAGTAAATGTCTCACACACAGCCACGAACTGAATGCGCAGTTTTCAAATGTTCGCTAATGGCCAACAAACACAACAGCAAAACAGGAACTTTACAATTCATAGAACACAAATGCTAAGACGGAAGAACAAATAAAAAAATAGTGAAAGCTGTAAATGGAAAACGTGGTACATAGGAGGTTATTAATCGTGGGAACGAGAAAGCTTTATGGTGGGGGGGTGGGGTTAGTGGTCCTTCTTCCATCAGAACTGGTGAGGAGAGGGGGTCACACTGTTCCACTGTTCACACCAGAAAATTTTTTAACTTTTATTGAACGTTTCGTTTTGGTATCATTACTTCAAGGTCATTGCAACTTGGGAGAAACTCCAACAACACAAGGCGTTGTCCTGAACGGCAATGCTGGCGGCTTCCCTCTCTCTCTCTCTCACACACACACACACACACACACAGCTCTGGATGTGTTTAGTTAGTTGCTTTGCCGAGACTGTGAGACCCACCAGGTCCCGGGAGCCACTCACACCGCCTGTCCCTTGTGTCACTGCATGTGTCTCTGAGTGTGTGTGTGCCTCTCTCTCTCTCTCTCTCTCGGTGACTTTGTATCACTCTCTGTGTGTCTCTGTCTCTGTATCTCTCCCTGTCTCTGTGTATCTCTGTCTCTCTCCCTGTGTCTCTGTGTGTCTCTGTCTCTCTCCCTGTCTCCCTGTGTCTCTGTGTGTCTCTGTCTCTCGCCGTCTCCCTGTGTGTTTCTGTATCTCTCACTGTCTTTATCTATGTGTCTCTGTCTCTCTGTGTCTCTCCCTGTCTCTCTGTGTGTCTCTATATCTCTCCCTGTCTCTCTGTGTGTCTGTCTCTCCCTATATCTCTCCCTGTCTCTCTGTATATCTCCCTGTCTCTCTGTGTGTCTGTCTGTGTCTCCCTATATCTCTCCCTGTCTCTGTGTGTCTGTCTCTGTGTCTCTCTGTATCTCTCCCTGTCTCTCTGTATCTCTCCCTGTCTCTGTGTGTCTGTCTGTGTCTCCCTATATCTCTCCCTGTCTCTCTGTGTGTCTGTCTGTGTCTCCCTATATCTCTCCCTGTCTCTCTGTGTCTCTCCGTCTCTCTGTGTGTCTGTCTCTGTGTCTCTGTGTCTCTCTATATCTCTCCCTGTCTCTCTGTATCTCTCCCTGTCTCTCTGTGTGTCTGTCTCTGTGTCTCTCTGTATCTCTCCCTGTCTCTCTCTGTGTCTGTCTCTGTGTCTCTCTATATCTCTCCCTGTCTCTCTGTGTGTCTGTCTGTGTCTCCCTATATATCTCCCTGTCTCTTTGTGTGTCTGTCTCTGTGTCTCTCTATATCTCTCCCTGTTTCTCTGTGTCTCTCTGTATAGATGCAAGTTGTTGTTGTGTGCTTCTGTCTGTGTCTCTCTCGCCCTGTGGCTCAGGAGCGCGCAGTCCGGCCACACAAAGAGGGTTGTGCAGGTCCACACACCCCGCCTGTCAGTCACTACACCGGGAACGCGCGAGGGGGCGCGCCTGGAGTGAGCAGCCAGAGCTGGCGCTGCACAGAGAAAGAGAGGCATAGAGCACTGCAACCCATTGCAGCTGCACATATACTGAGAGAGACACACACACACACAGAGCAACACACTGCAGCCGCACACACACACACACAGAGATACACACACCCAGAGCAATCCACTGCAGCCGCACACACACACACAGAGATACACACACCCAGAGCAACCCACTGCAGCCGCACATACACACACACACTGAGCATACACACACACACTGAGATACACACACCCAGAGCATCCCACTGCAGCCGCACATACACACACACACACACTGAGATACACACACCCAGAGCAATCCACTGCAGCCGCACATACACACACACACTGAGATACACACACACACCCAGAGCAACCCACTGCAGCCGCACATACACACACACACACTGAGATACACACACACACACACAGAGCAACACACTGCAGCCGCACATACACACACACACTGAGATACACACACCCAGAGCAACACACTGCAGCCGCACATACACACTAATACACATATACACAGATACACACAGACACACGCATACACAGAGCGATACACGCATAAGGAGATACACAGAGTAACCCACTGCAGCCGCTACGGTTTCAATGAATTGTCTGAGGCCGACATCTGGAACGGATTCATCTGCAGAAAGCGGAACGTTTCGCTGCTGTGTGGGAGCGCTCTGTGTTTGAGGTAAATCTGAACCACTCGTTAAAAAAAATGTTTCTTGTATATATATATATTTGCATCCGTGGGAGAGAAGCGGGTTCTTGGGCAGTGGACTGCAATACTATAGCTACTGCCATTCCACCCCCATGTCCCTGTCGCTCTCTGTGTCTCAGTGAGAAGGATGTGTGTGGTCACTGGGGCTCTGTCGCTGTCTTTGGTACTGAGCTGTTTAAATGGCTCTCGGTTGCATTTGGACGCGGTCGCTGTTTGCATCCCGTCCGAATACCTTCAGCTGCTGAGGGAGATGGAGAGGGGAGTGGGGGGAGAGGGGAGTGGGGGGAGGGGGAGTGGGGGGGAGGGGGAGGGGGGAGTGGGGGGGTGGGGAGGGGGATTGTGCCGCCTATCGAATTGCTTCCTCGTCCAAATCGATGCAAAAGGGCTGTTCAGGGAGAGGGGAGCAACTTACCCTCACCCCGTAAACCAGCAACACTCCGCCCAGAGCAAAGGGGACACGGCAAGGCGGGCAGCATTCATTGACCATTTCAACGCACCCCCTGCCCGCCTGCCCTCCCTCCCTCCTGCCTGCCCTCCCTCCATCCTGCCTGCCCGCCCTCCTGCCTGCCCTCCGTCCTGCCTGCCTGCCCTCCCTCCTGCCTGCCCGCCTGCCCTCTTCCTGCCTGCCCGCCTGCCCTCCCTCCCTCCATCCTACCTGCCCGCCCTCCTGCCTGCCTGCCCTCCCTCCCTCCCTCCTGCCTGCCTGCCTGCCCTCCCTCCCTCCCTCCCTCCCTCCCTCCCTCCCTCCCTCCTGCCTGCCCTCCCGCCCTCCCTCCTGCCTGCCTGCCCTCCGTCCTGCCTGCCTGCCTGCCCTCCCTCCTGCCTGCCCGCCCTCCTGCCTGCCTGCCCTCTCTCCTGCCTGCCTGCCTGCCCTCCCTCCTGCCTGCCTCCCCTCCGTCCTGCCTGCCTGCCCTCCGTCCTGCCTGCCTGCCCTCCCTCCTGCCTGCCCGCCTGCCCTCCCTCCTGCCTGCCCGCCTGCCCTCCCTCCTGCCCGCCTGCCCTCCCTCCTGCCTGCCTGCCTGCCTGCCCTCCCTCCCTCCCTCCCTCCCTCCTGCCTGCCCGCCTGCCCTCCCTCCTGCCTGCCTGCCCTCCGTCCTGCCTGCCTGCCCTCCCTCCTGCCTGCCTGCCCTCCGTCCTGCCTGCCTGCCGGCCCTCCCTCCTGCCTGCCCGCCTGCCCTCCCTCCTGCCCGCCTGCTGTTGTTTTGCAGCTGTGTACACAGTGTGAAGGCGGCAGTGCGGACGGGGGCTCGGGCAGCGCGTTGGGTATAACCCAGCATAGCCCAGCCCAGCCCAGCATAGCCCAGCACAGCCTAGCATAGCCCAGCCCAGCCCAGCATAGCCCAGCACATCCTAGCATAGCCCAGCACATCCTAGCATAGCCCAGCACAGCCTAGCACAGCACAGCCTAGCCTAGCCCAGCCCAGCAAAGCACAGTCTAGCCCAGCACAGCGCAGGCTAGCCTGGCAAAGCCTAGCCTAACATAGCCCAGCACAGCCTAGCCCAGCCCAGCCCAGGGTAGCCCATCACAGCCTAGCCCAGCACAGCCTAGCCCAGCCCAGCCCAGGGTAGCCCAGCACAGCCCAGCATAGCCCAGCACAGCCCAGCCTAGCACAGCCCAGCCTAGCCCAGCACAGCCCAGCCCAGCACATCCCAGCCCAGCACAGCACAGCCCAGCCCAGCCCAGCCCAGCCTAGCCCATCACAGCCCAGCCCAGCCCAGGGTAGCCCAGCCCAGCCTAGCCCATCACAGCCTAGCCCAGCCCAGCCTAGCCCATCACAGCCTAGCCAGGCACAGCCTAGCCCAGCACAGCCTAGCCCAGCACAGCCTAGCCCAGCACAGCCCAGCCCAGCCCAGCCCAGCCCAGGGTAGCCCAGCACAGCCCAGCATAGCCCAGCACAGCCTAGCCCAGCACAGCCCAGCCCAGCCTAGCCCATCACAGCCCAGCACAGCACAGCCCAGCCCAGCCTGCCATCGGCCGGGGCCCAGAGCCAGAGCGGACGCTTTTCCCCGGTGGAGGTGACAGCCCATCCATGCGCTGATGTAATGCATTATAAATGAATTTATCTATATTTTGTTTAAAATCAAAGTTTACCTAAAGTGATGCCCCCCTCCACCCCCCCCCCCCCCCCCGCCCCCCATTACAGTGCTGAGCAGTGTTGCTCGCCCTGGAGCTGTGGTCGGGTGGGGGTCGGGGTCGGGTCGGGTTTGACATGTGCAGCTCCAGGTCTCTCTCTCGGTGTTGATGTTTATCCTTCTCGTTCCCCCCCCAACCCCAACCCCAACCCCAGTGTGTGTGTGTTAAAAAAAATATCAGGAATCCGAGAGCAAAGCGGGACTCTTGCGATGGCGCAAGGAAATAACTATGGGCAGAATGCCAGCACCAACGGTATGGCTGATGAATCCCCGAACATGCTGGTGTACAGAAAGGTAGGGGGGTATCTGTGTGTGTGTGTGTGTGTGTGTGTGTGTGTGTGTGTATGTGTGTGTGTGTGTGGGAGAGAGAGAGAGCTCCACACTGTGTGATCTCCTCGCCATATATGCAGCACTCGTTGCAAATGACTTGCGCTGTGATGCGCTACGTGTGGTAAAGGGGGGAAACGAGGGGCTCTCTTTGCCCCTCTCGTTGCGCGGCCGAGCGGGCGGTAACGGGGGCGAAGCAGCGAAGAGATCCGTCCCTGTACGAAAGGAGAAGACTCTCTGGCGCTCCTGTGCATCGACGACCTTTCCTTTTCCTTTCCTTTTTGACGCTTCTCCAGAACTTTTTATTTTTCTTGGGTTTTTTTTTTGCACCGCGCGATGTGGGTCCAAATGTCCCCAAGTGGGTTGAGTCCAGACATTTTTTTCCCTACATATATATCTATATATATATATATCTATATCGGAGGGACAAGTCGATTTGTGCGAAGGGGAACCCAGTCCCGGGGCTTTACTGTGGGAAAGATGATTGACAGGTGTGTCCGGGAGCAATGCCTGGACCTCAGTGAGCTGAGATCCAAGCTGAGCGACCCACAGGAATCTGCAGCTCCCGAAAGGATGTAGGAATAGTTTGTAAGCCTTCCTCCCCACCAGCAGCGATCAGTGGCGGCACATGTTATGGGTTCTTGTAGGAAGGAATAAGCATGTGATCAATACACAAATAGAACCGAGGATGTCACACCTATTTGATCGCGAAAATGAAGCACCTGTAAGACCAGGAGGCAGTCATTGTGTGCTTAGTGTGTGTGTGTGTGTGTGGGTGGGTGGGTGGTGGGTATTTACTATCATGGTTTAAGTTTTCAAAGGAAATTCTGGCACTGTTTGCCACCGTCTGCCAAATCCAAGAAGGGACGAGATGAAGGGTAAAGCAGAGGAGAGGGTGCCTTGAGCTCTGATGTTTTTGTTTTTGCTTGTGATGGAAATGCATTGAAATTCCTAGTAACTACTATAAACAAATGCTGCTACATTGTAAGAGACAGACAGGTGGACGCGAGTGGTGAACATGGATTTCTTGATGTCCTTTCCAAAGTGAAGACTCATGACTGCCCTAATTGGCACATCTGCTGTTTTGATGGCAGTCTTACTGTTGACCGAATATCTCCTATGGTTTTGCTCGGCACAAAATACGGTTCTCATGTTGAACACATTCTAGTATCATATTTAATGCAGCAGAGACATTAATATGTCTAATTGTACCTTTTTACATGTGAAATGAAGTCCTTCTAAACAATGACTTTGCATTTAAATACCAATAGAGGGGAATCATTCTCAGATAACATGCCCATGTTCCTGCTAAAGTGAACAAAATATAATTTCACAAGGCTTGGTGTCGTTTTGTGATGGATTGAAGTGATTATGTTTCTGCTGTCAACTTCAGTGCTGTCTTGAAATGTTGAAATAATTGGACACAGAGTCGAATGAGGCGGCTTTCTCAATTTTACGTTGTACTTTGTCCATTGGTCAAAAAACTTGTGTTCTATTTTACCCAGTGTTGGTTTTCTAAGCAATATTTAGTGCTTTTAAAAATATTTTCTCTTGTTTGAGTTACAAATGACACCTCTCATGTTAAAGGCACTGAAGGGATGGGTTTGTTTTTCTTTTTACTTGCTAATGTCATTTCTCTGCAATCATTTTCCCTCTGATTCCCAATCATCACCATTGTTCCTTTCATTCTGTCCGGTGAAGAAGACGATTCTTTCACTACTTGTCTGCACAAGTTACTTTCTCAGGTTATGTGGTCACTGTTTCACCTTTCCACTCGGCAGGCTTTACTACAGTAAAACAATAGAAAGCATAATTGAAAAACAACTATAAATGGTGGCCTTGTTAACTCACTGCAATTGTGATGGTGATGTAACAAGAATGGTTCCCCTGGTCTGGAAATCTGCTGTAAAAGTTTTATTGTTCTATTTTAGAATAAAACTCTTGTGTGCTTAAGCAATGCAAAAAGCAGATCTAATTTCAGATCAGTTTTGTTACCAGCCCAGGAGATGCTTCTCCTATTGGGTTCATGCATTATAACATTTTCTTTGGTTGAATGAGTTATACTAAAATAGGTTAGTAGCCAACACCTATCAAAATTTCCTTCCATCTATGAATCAAACCCAATTCAATTCCAAATGAAGTTGCACCAAATGATGTATAAAGGAATTACTAACGATGTATCTAGATGACTATCATGAAAGTCAGAAAAAAATTGCTTCACCCTAATTTTTACAATGGCTGCAGTTTGCATTCGCTCCTGCCAGAGACTTGTAACATAATTTAATCCGTTATTGTTCAAAGTTATTAGAGTTTTACTGCAATAATCCTCTTAAGGCAATGGTCCTGAGAGTAAAGCAAGCTGTCTTAGTGACGGAGGAGTAGTCTTCTTGGTAACACAGTAATCATTGGTTGTTTGATCTGGATTTATGCAAAAATTGAGCTGAAATGTATAAGTAGATCACAGGAAATGAGCCAGTGAAGCTTTAAGGAGTAAACAGACTGTTGTGTGGGTCTTTGCATTTTTAAAGTGAGTTGCACTGAGTCTCTAGAGGTGCATTTTACCTTGAGTTGCAAAGACATGCTTATTTATATTTAATGTATTTAAAAAGGTTATTATGTTGTTTGAGATCTATTCAGACTGACAGCTGTGATAAGAAAGATGTGCTGCCTTTGTGGTATCTCAGTGGGACACTATATACTGTATTAGTGTATAATCTAGATTTGTGATGCACTAGTAAAGAGGGTAAATTAACATTCCAATATACTGTAACAAGGATATTTCCCTCCTTCATCAGTCAATAAAATAAATCAAATAGCACTCCTCTCCAGCCATGTGATTTGATTGTTGGATCTTATTATAAGATGAAACTTATAAGAAATCTTTAAGCAGGTACTATAATCCGAGGTTTAAGATAAAATGAATGAATCTCTGTGGCAAAGCTTTGCATATTTTATGTGACCTGAACCTTTTAATAGGTTGGGTCTTCTCACACTCTGCAGGTTGTTTCCTAATGTGTTGTACGTACATAAATATCCTATAAATCAGTTGGTGCAGCAACAACTAGGATTCTACAACATTTAAATGAAGGTAAAAAAGAGCCTTTAGTTTTGATCTGTGGTAGCAGAGAAGAAAACCTCTGCTTGAAGCTCAATGTTAGCAGCTTGCAACTTAAAGATAATTTGAGTCAAGCTTTCTTTCTGCTTGAAATGTCACAGCAACCCCCTCTGGTTATCCAGTGGGTTCAAGGCACCATGGTATCATGAGTAACTCGCACAAAACAAGGTCGTAAATTAAATTCCTGCTCTTTGCTCTCAGTTGGGACAGCACTTGTGGTGCCACCAATGGGTCTTAGTACCTCTGAGTACATGCACATACAAAGACAAATAGACAGGAAAGAGCAGAAAAAGATCTCAAGGCTCTAGTTTTAGTTCACTACCGAGAGACCCCCCCGCACCCCGTACTCCAATCTACCTGGTAGAAAGAGAAAAAATACATCAATGTTCTCACTACTCAGTGACCAGCATCAGCAACATTATTTAGCTGTAATGTGCTCTACTGTCAAAAAGCCTGCCAGCACTCACTGTCTAAATTGACACCTGAAGAATGGCCACTTAGGTGAGGTACTAAAGGGTTGTTGGCAACTTGGGAACTTTGTCCTATCAAGAAAGAGTACCTTCAGGAAAATAAGAGTGTCAAGAGTTGGGGAGAGAGAAGGAGAGGGGGCCGAGAGAGAGGGTTTCAGCTATGCGGTTTTAGACGGTTAGAGACTCCAGCAGTACCCTAACACACACTCTGTGGTCCCCAAACCTTGGCTTTTGCTAACCGGCACCTATTACTTTCCGGAATTAGGTAAACAGGATGATTCCCTCCAGGGAGAGAGTGTGCATTCCAACAATCTTATCTGGGATTTCCATGTGTAGTTGGGACGCATGGAATTCTCAGTTTGGTTTGGATACTCTTAAGCATGGTAATGGGTTTCCTCATGTGTCAGACACCCGGTTGACAAAAAAGAGAGCAGAAAATTGACAAAACAAAGAGACTTTGTTACATTATTATTGTTAATTTCAGTACAATTTGGGGTAAAAGGTACAACCAACAACAAAGATATGCATAGTACAAATCTAAAAATATCCAATGCTGATTAGATACGTCTGCTTAGCATGTGATCAGTGTTTCGCTTTCAGCTCTTCTGTGCATAACATATCTGCTCTAATCTACATGCTGATCTGAATAGAGAAACTGTTAACTGAGATTAATGCAAGCTGTTTTGGTGGTGTTAAATGAGCTGATGATATATGAATGAGGGGTGTATTGTTTTGATGGTGGAGGACATGGTATTTTGCTTGTGTTTCAGATAGATATCTCAACTGTTATAAGCAACGTGACATTTATTTGCTATCTAAACAGTGTTTACTCATTGTAGAAAAGAGCTTGTGCTCTTCTGTATGGATGCACAATGAATACACACCAGTGCTTTCTTTTAAATTGTGTGTAATTCGAGCCCATCACTTTAGATAGGAATAAAGGACTTGTGCTTATTTATTGCAATATACTGTGTGTTTCTTTAATTGACTGGTGGAAGTCGAATTTCTGCAAAGTAATATTCTACTTTAATGTGCGATGATTTGCAATGATAACCAGGATGATTCTTCTGTCAAAAGTCTCAGGTCTATAACATGCTAAATTTGTTCCATCTATTAGCCTCATGAACCAAGTCATTTTTTTTAGTGCAAACATCATGCCTGGCATAAAGTCTAGTTATTGTCACCTCCTGGTTTGAAACTCTGCTCATGTGTTCTTATCTTCAGAGCTTGACCTTTTGGATAAGGGATCATTTGTCAAATCCATTTAGTCTCTTCTTGTCAGCTTTCTTCAAACATCCAATTTTCATCCAGCATCACTGTAAACTATCAATCAGACAGGTCCCTTGATAAAAAAAAATGTTGTGCATTGATGAAACATTTAT